AAGGAATGTCATAGTTTCTAAAACTTCTGCAATGAAAACAGCCTGTTATTACACATGGACTTTGTTCTTCCCCTGCAGCTCTAAATTACCAGGGTCTTATGAGCAGTATCTGTTCACAAACTGTCCAAGGGCATCAGGAAAAACTGTCACCTTGATAAAGAGGGCTGAAAAGTGATGGACTTCAGTGTTGCTTGGAGTGGCAGAGGCAATCCCCAGAACCAGGTGAAATTGTGGAGAAAAACTAAGGCACTTTGCAATTACATATTCTCCTGTGAGAGAATATCAGAGACAGCAAAGCTGTGAAATGAACAAGCATAAGAAAAACAACACTGCAAGGAAAATGAGTGAACCTGGTCTTCCAAGGAAGCACAAACTCAGAGCTAGTGTTAGTGCTCTTAACCCACTCTCCCTTGTCTAGGTTGTTCCTTCTCTGGCTATCAAGAGAGGCAGGAATTGAAGAAATATGAAGGTAAAAAATAAACATCTAAATATTACAAAAATAGAAAGTTATACAACTAAAAACTACAATTCCTTCAACTAATGTTTTCTGGAAAATGAGAGAGTATTCTTGACAGTAATTGTATTGCCCCATTGCTCCATTTTATTCCTTTACCCTAGGCCATGCTGTTGGCCACTTGTCAAAGATAGGATGCTTGGCAGAGGAGCCTTCAGACTCAGGTCTCCTAATCAGTCAGGGGCTAACAGAAAGAAGATGCTATACAAAAGTCAAGAGTAGATATACACACATAACAGCCTAATTTTTCTAAGGTTTCGATTGTTAAAGCATTCAGATAGAACAAAAGCTCCCAGAGAACGGAGGACCAGTACTAGCTCATCTACTCTCAGCATGATTTATCACAGAGCAGGAGATCCAGGTTTAGAAATGAGGCTGTGACTCAGTCCACCAGCCATAGCAATGATAAGCTTAAGCAATGCATGTATAATATCCCAAAGTTAGCAAAGTACAAGTATGTCCTGCAGCTGTGTGACAAAACTCTCAAGATTTTGCAGATCCAAAGAAATTTGGCTTCCTGGACTAGATGTACAATTATTTTGTCTGACAAAAAGTAATTATCTGCTTAGAAACAGAAGACATGGAGAAAAGAGATTTAAAATTCTCTTTTACCTCACCCATTATTCTTTGGTATACAGTAAAAAACTATAAAGGGAAAAAATCTGTTCCTCTGCTGATTCTCCAATCCTCTCCTCAGTGACAGGAGAAACTGTAATAGCAGAAGGCCTTTTCAGCTGTGACACTTGGAACACTGTTTCCATAGGGCTCTTCTCCTGAACTCAACAGGTCACCACTTCTGCTCTCTATCTCAGCTACCACTAGCTTCTGCTCCCCATCCCACTGTGGACTTGCAGGTGCTGATGCACCAGCTCCCCCTCACAAAATCACCTCAGCATTGCTGCTTGCTCTGTCAGCAGATGCTGAAAGTAATACAGGTCTGCATTCTAACTCAGTACTGGATCTCTGGATTTAGACTAACATACTTTGAGTCTCGTCACCATTGTAAGACAAAGACCAACTACAAAATTTCTTGAAAGGCTGGAAAAACCAATGACAGGAATCATGCAACCATTTATTTCAATACAAGTGGGCTCTTTGTCCCCATTTCTGCAAAGTGCCATGAATGTATTCAGTGCTTTCCTCTGTCGTTGACTTTAAAGGTCATTTGTCAGCACTTGGCAGGGGATGGCCCTCACTACAAATGTTGGCCTTGAAAACATGACAAAGAGCAAAAGTAAGAACCTATTCAACTATAGTGAAGGATGTTAATACAGAAAGAGGAACTACAGGGATATAGAATAATAATCTGCATAAGTAAACATGTTTATAATGGAAATTATAACCACATTTAATAAGTAGTTCATTTATTAATGACAATTTGGGAAAAAAGGGATTACTATCACTGTAGTGGAAATAGCATACTGTGATTCTGGACTAAGAAGAAAGACTTAATTATTGTAAGTTTCATGTCTCAAGAAATCATAATTCAGTTCATGATAAAACAGACAAAAATGGTGAAAACAAATTGTGTTATCAATAGGAAATTGTAAGAAATATTCTTAACAAAGACTTGTTAAATATATAATTTTTATTTTGTTCATCATAAAGTCAAAATGCATCAGGCTGATAAGGTAAAAAATACATAAGGAAAGGATTGTGTTATATAAAAATTTTAAGACCTGAAATACAGAGAACTCTATTTTTAAAATTGAGTTTGGTTTGGAAGTCCCAAAGTTGTGACCTCACAGATCTATTTCTTGCTGTATTTTACACTGGAATCGCTTGCACTAAGCAACTAGAAAGTGGTTTTTCTTTATAAAGTAACAGTTTATGAAAGAAATAAATGCTTGAATAGCAAGTTAATTCATGAAAAGGACAAAACACTAAATTAATCATAGGCCTTGCTATTACATCTGTACCAGATACCCCTGTACATTCCTGACACTCACATTCTCCAGCTTTACTTCTTAAAACAATGTTAGCAATTAGGAATGGGAGCACCTTGTATATAGATAAACATATAGATAAACACAGATATAGGTAAAGATACAGACATACATACAGACATTGATATATAAATGCACTTCTGAAATGTTGTTGTGGGCTTCAGCTTAAGAGAGAATGAAGATTGTCACACCTTTCTTAGCAAAAATTGAGGAGCAACAATGCCTTAATTCTTTTCTGTCAATAAATAAACACCCTTTTCTCAATCTTTTTGCCTGTATTAAAACAAAAACATTCCAAACTATTGGATATATTTGAAACAATTATTGCATATACAGATTTTTCAATGCTGTCCATATAGCCTTCCTGAACACCTAAAGCCTTGATGCATGAGGTGGCTCACCTCCATGACTGAGCCTCATTGCATATGAGGAAGGGGAGGAGAACCAAACTTTGACACTTACTGGGCTTTAGGTAATGCATGACTCTACATTAAATCCAGCTCATCAATGTCCTGTTTTCATTTGCTATGTGCCCTGCTTACAGATGATATGTTTTCTTAACTCACTCAAAAGTGTTGACTTTTGCTGCCTGTTTCTACTGAGACATGAATGGTCCTTGCTTATTATTCCAATTAACTGTTCTTTGAAAACAGCAAGATGTAGCTGTAATCAGATCAGAAGACCAAACATTTAGAGAGCAAAATGTCAGGCACAGAGAAATAAACCAGTAAATTCTGCATGGAAATAACTGGCCCTGTATCTTAGCAAGATACCAAGTTCTGCAACTATGTGGAGTTGTGGAATACAGACTTTGCAGTAAGTAGCTAATTTCAAATATATCTCTGCTGGTTTTTAAATTGTCTGTAGGTTTTGCATTGATTTACATTTACTTCTGTTTTGAAATACTTCCTGCAAAAGAAGACAGCTCTTGGAGCTCAGTTCTCTGATAAAGAAAAGCTTCTGTAGACTCTGAGCCTCAGTATTCACAAACCATCTCAGCAAGCAAAACCAAGAATTTTTCTTTTTGTTCTGCTAGCTAAAACCACTGCTAGCTAAATTCTAATTCTGTAAAATTAATAAGCCAAATTCATCAGAACATAACAGTTACTGCTGCCCTCTACCAGCAGTCCTTCATGGCTGAAATGAGGAACTACTTGACATTCCTTAGAAAGTGTTACAGTTTGCTAAGCCTGTGTCATTGGAGGTGAGCTGAGCTTACTAAAATCTTACTAGACCACAAGTCACTCAATGTCTCCAACCTGATAATTTTTGTATTCCAGGTAAGCATATTAATTTTTATGCATGTGTTTATATTAATTGCATTGTTTAAAACAGGAATTCCCAATTTTCTACAGTTTAAAACAATGTAAAATACTGTGCAGATTATTCTTAATATCCTAAATCTACATATGGAAAAATAAATTATGATTTCAGTCATTAACCACCTTCTTTGCCTAATAGCCACTGAGAAAACTTTTTATGCTATCTTTTACTTATATTATACTATGCTTTAAAAAAAATTACATTAACTTAATTTACACATCAAGTTTTCATAACTCATATCCAGTTAATCAAATCACACTTCTATCTACAGGATATATAACAAATAATTCCCAAACAAAAGGGAAGATTAAACATCTTTCCATCAAGAGTAATGGTATTTTTTTCCTGCATTCTATAGGATTAGCAGTTCTTAAACTCAGATTATAATTAACAATTTACAAAAAGCAAGCATTTAGTTAATACTAATATTTCACATTAATTCCTTATCTGTATGAAGAACGATCAGTCACCAAACACTCATGGTGACAAAATCCTTTCATTTTTTTTATGAAAGTTTACAAGAGGGGATTAAAAAAATAGCAAACCCACAAGCTTTACCAATCATATCAAATCTATGTAAGCTATATCTACTGGCATATTTACCTGTCTGTTTAAAGCACCTTGCATAAGAAAGCTTGGAATAATATACCAGTAATATTGATACAAAACTAATTAATAATAAATATTTAAAATTTATGAGGCATTTTTGAGTGAAAACAATCATGCTAAATAAGCTGTTTCAGGGAGTTCTAAGAAAAGCTTTAGCTGAAAACCCACATTTACAATCTATCCCAAAAACAAGCAGAACACTGCACCAACCCAAGCATTAGCTCAATTAAAAAAGGGGGAAAAAATGAAATCCCTTCTCAGCTTAATAACTTGTTAGTTCTTGACAAGTGCAACAACACAACAATAAGCCAGTCAAAATGAGTTTTTAAAGCGAGGTTATGCCCTTCATGTTGTGTTATCACAGTGCCAGATCAAACTGCTGACTTGGACTCTTTCTGCCAGCAGTGCTGATGCTGCCTCTATGAGCTACTGTCACAGAATAGTCATGGTACCTGCTCTTGCCTATAGAAAAGCACTAAATTGAACTCGAAGTAGTGTCTTTGTGATATCTTTTCAACAAGTCATGTCCCATTCAGCCTGCTAGTTTATCTCTGTCAGGCTAGGGGCCCAAGTGGTTTGCATGAGCTGTCAGGGACAGGTCTACCAACCTGCTCAGTGCTAAGGAGGTAATGCATCTTTCGGGCTTGGTATTTCTTTTCCTTTTCTTTCTTTTCTAGGTCTTTCATTTTCTTTTCATTTTCCTTCATTTCTGCATACTCTTGAAGTTCACTCCTGTAATAAAATAAGTGTGCTGACTATATTATAACAACAAAAGACATGCTACTCTCCTATTTTACTTTAACCCTTTCATAGCTTCACAGTGTTTTGTTCTTATATATTAGCAGTATACTGACACCACAGGAAAGCAAAATTACTGTTCTGTCAGTTCCACAGCAGTAGGATATTACATGGATATAACTATGAAGAAACAGGATTAAAGTAATGAAAAGTAGGAGCAGAATATAGGTCCACATTGCTTACAGCTTGATAAAATAGTATTCATGTAAGTAATTTTATCTGCCTTTAAGTGTCATTTTACTTTGAATTTCTCTAAGTGGAAGCTATTACAGTATAAATAAAGGTTGTTCATTTATGTTTGAGCTAGTGCCTTGTAACACCTCCTGATCCGCAGACAGGGGAGATTTTATGGAATAAGAGAGGACAGCAGACATGGGATAAGAGATGATATTCACTCATTGATCCTTGAGCCCTTTGTGAGGTTGAGAAAGTAGGCACAGAGGAAAACTGGATGGGAACCTTCCATGCATACATTGTCCTTAGGAGGAGATTCCGTGGCGTTGGGCTTCTTGCACAGGTCATTTCTGCTATGCTTTGATGAGAGCTGAAGAGGCCACCATGAGAACCCAGAACTGAACTGCTTCATGAAGCACTGCACAACAGAGGTGTGCAAACAAACAGAGTCATCTAAATATGTGATTCTGTGCAGAAAACTCTTTCATCATAAAAGAAATATGGAACTATACCTAAGACCAGGTTTCAAAGAATGGAGAAAATTCATGATTTTAACCGAATGTTTAGAGAAAAACTTGAACAGAAAACGGGCATAAATTTCCACCTCAATGGTTTGTTGGGATTTTTTTTGTTTTTTTCACAGAGCCAGGCTTGCCATAAATTATGCAAACAGTAGAGTGAATTAATGTTATATAAGAAACAAAATTTTGTGCTATTGTGCACAGTGCACGTGTATGGAATTTTTTGACCCAGTTAAAAAAGGTTAGTTTGATTAACATTTGTTATTTTTGTTATAACAAAATGGCTAGTTCAAATTAACCTGTGTGCCAAATACACCAAGCATATTCAGTCAAGAATTTAGATTGCTAAAAAGTCAATTAGGTGAGTGAATTCTAATCTTTATGTTTTTTGGTATGTGTATATATGATAAAATAAAAAGGAAAAAAGTATTTTTCACATAACTGGACAATTCAAATACTCGTGCAAAACAGATTATTTCGAGAGATCCACATTAATTGTCCCAGTTGTTTCAATGAATACCAAGACACTGCGAGGACATAGGTCAAATTGTTTCAAAATACTCACATGGGTAAGTTTGCTGATATGAATAATCCCAAGGAAAAGTCATATTGCTCCCAAAAGCATTTTTTTAAGATTGTGACTCAGACTTACTCTTAATATTTTAATTATCATTAAATTAGTTCATCAAAATATGTGAAAGAGCAATAATTGCTTTATAAATATGAACACTATGAAATCACATTCTTAAATACAAGTTGCAGTGTAGAACTTATTTGTTTCATGCTATCTTTCAGGATTTTATCAATTAAAATACGTAAAGTATTAAGTAATTAAATGTATGATTTTAATTGTAAAAGAAAAATAGAATAAAAGGAAATACAGAGCAGAAAAGATGCACAGGTATTTTTGAATCTCTGAAAATATGTTTTGTTGCAGTTTACTGTTAAAGGCTGCTAATACAATATTTCATACAAGGTTACTTATGAAGCACACTGACGTTTAAAAATCACCATGCTATGCTTTTGCAGCAGTGTAATTTTTTTCCAACATAAGATTAAATTGCAAAATAAATGAATTACTTAGAGTGGCATGGCCCCCATTTTGCCACCCTTCTCTTGAAAATTGCTTATTAATATGAAAAAAGAAGTTGGAAAATAGCCTGTTTTACTTTATGCATAGCATTCTGGGGCCTCAAAGCCTGCAGAGCCGGAGTAGCTGCACATTTTAGATTGTGTTGGCAAGCAGGGACGATGACCTTTCTGACCTGCATCTCAAGGCTATTATTAATCGCTAAGTAACCTGGTAAAGCCAAACAAATTTGTTTCCATTGAAAGGATCTCTATCTGTGTCTGAGAATTTGTGCTGTACCAAACAAACCTCATTAACTGTGTCCATTTTTGACAAAGAACTAGGAGTTGGAGAGATTGGCGACCTTTCTTTGTCCTCAAGGTACAGATTTCAGAGTCACTACATGTAGGTACATAAGCATTTTTTACTAGGAAACTCTTTGTTCTATATCCATCAATCACAAACAAATGAATAAATAGACAATACATATGGTATCAACTTTGTTCTTTTATTTTATGCCTCTTTACCTTCAATATCAGAGTGTATGATCTGTGGTTTACATATTTAATACTATTCCTTTTTGATTACAGAGCTCTCTATTCAGCTTTAGTACCCCTATCTACAACTTAATGAAATAATAACATATTACTAAAGTCAATTCGTGTTCTTATATACTGAGGTGCTTCTTTCTAACAGTGAATATGGAAGGTTTTTGATTTAGAAGACAACTGGTGGTAAAAAAGCCACAAACAATGTCAAAAATATAGATCTGTATTCCAAAAAAAAATGATAACAGGATGCAAAATGTTTCCTGTTGTCATCAATGGGAATTTATCAGATTGCTTTGAATGAATGATTAATAATCATTACTTCCTGAAGTTAAATGAAGTCTAAAATACTTGTTGAAGTTCAATGTAATTCATGATGTTTTTAGACAGTGTTATTATCATGATCATTCCTGATTATCACACACCTTCAGTAATACTTGTACCATAATCCATGTAAAAGTTTGAGATTTTTAAGCAGTTACAAATAATTTTCAGCATAGTTTTGCAGCCGACACATTTTGTTCTAAAATATCTCTATCACTCCACTGCCCTGTACAGTTGTACAGATCATGCAAACGATTTTGTCACAGGGATAATAGCTCCCAGAATGGTTCTCTCCTGAGAGGCAGTACAAAATAAGTGATATGTAGCAGTCCAAACATTGCTTGACTGGAAACACAGATATTTTAGCCTAAATATCGATTTATTTTAAAGCTATTTGAACCTGAAGCTTTCATCTCTTTTACCATACTTTCAAGCATTTGAAAAGGAGCAACAAAAGCAGAGAATCTAAAGCAGTTAGATATGAATATACTATTTCACACATTAGCAGATTAATACTAACATGCCATGCACGGTGCATGGGTTTCACTGTTACCATACAGAATAATGTGTAGAAGGATAAGTGATATTAACAACATAAACTTAACCTTCCAAATGCAGCCAGAGTTCCACATAACTTACAAGGAAATGTGTTCACTGGGAAGTTTCATGCTTGGGATCTTCTACATATATGCCTTCCCAAAGAAAATAAATCCAAATTCTATTAAAGTCAGCAGGAAATCAGTTGAAATGAAATGATTTTTGGATTAAATCAGTACTCTTCCTGCCAGTCTGTTCACAAATTTGATAGGTTCATTGAGCAATCTTTTCTTGGGATATATGGGTATCATCTCTGTGACATTATGGATACTAGCTGTAATGCATGACACTCTGTGGATTCTGGACCAATTTTGCTTCAGGATGAACCTTTTCTGGTTCATTGTGAAGTGGAAAATAATTTGGCTTACTTTTTTAAAGCTTCAATAAATTTTGCAGGAGAAAAAAAATTCTGTAAATGCAAAATATGTTTTAGTTTATTTGATAATCTTGTTCTATTTTTGTAAGTGATCTGTCTGTTGTATGGTTCATAGATGGGAAAGTATTGCTTATTAAAATGTTATAACTCAAAAATTTGCTAATTATTTTAGCACATATTATTTCCCTTATCTTAAAGCCTATCTCAACGTATTAACAGCATCTTTTGCATCTTCCTACAAACCTGGCTTTCCATATAAGTTTAGTCCAATCAGACTTTCTCCCACACACATTTTTATTGAGTAGCTTTGTAGGAGAATTATTTGGATATTTTGACAAATGATCATGATCTGAAAATTATTAAACAAATCAGAATAATATAAATGTTTACTATGGCAAGTTTAGGATGCTTTTTTTTTACTAAAAACATGAATATACTGGCTAACACAAAGTGTGATGTCCTTGTCATAGGGAATGTTTCATGCATTGGAAAACAGTCATAGGATTATCAACATATGTGCTCAAAACTCACAATTAAAAATGATCTTGTGTAACAAATCTGTTAAGTAGCTACAGAATTGTTAATGATAAAATTACTTGCTCTATATAGTTTGAAAATAAAAAAAAATCATCTGACAAGGTAACTCATTGTTATTCTGATTCTTCATTATGCAGTAGGCAATGGTGTTGGTTCCTGCTATGAGATGCAAATTCAGTTGACAGTGCTCCTGCTGTCTGTATAAAGGTTAAAAATACACATATAATATTGTTCCTGGCACTTTTGGAAAGGTCTTCAAGTGATGATTTCAGTAATATACAGATTTTAATAATTCTGCATAGAACTTCATCATTTTACAAATTCACACTGACCTATGTTTATTAATTTTATCAAACTATTGCATTCTGTTCGCATTTCCACTGGCATTCTGTGGTCCTTTGGCCAAATGATATTGCAAAATGATTATATTAACTGAAGGAAAGGGCATCCAATAAAAACCAATAATTAGTATAGTTGCCCAGAGTATCCAGAAAAAGTAGTAAGTTATTGTGATTTTAAACAGTTCAGATACCAAATCATAAAATTCCTGCAACAGAAGCAGTAGGCAACCTTAGCATACGAGGAGATAACCTAAATCTATTTAATCTTCCTGACTATATATCATTCCCCCTGCTCAAATACAGAATATGGAAGGTAAAATAAAATTAGTGAGACAATAATTTTTGGTATACCACTGTATGCCACTTGATTTTACATCACATTGGTGTAGGTGAGAATGGAATATAACCTGCCATGATAATATTGTTTGACTTAATCGATTAAATTTG